CCTGTTTCAAAACTAAACAAGATTCCTAGAAAGGATATCCTTATAATTAGTATTACTAGCAAATTGCCCATCAAGAATGATGGCGAGGCAGGCGGGAACAGAGCCCTGTGTCCAGCTCCGTGCCCGCCGCCCCCGCCACTCTAGGTCTGGGTCTGCTCTAACCCCGCCCTGTGCCCCTCCCGCACTACTCTGGGTCTGGCCTGACTCCACCCCAGGCCACCACTCCAGCTACAGCCCTACTCCACCTCCCCCTGACACTCCAGGTCTGGCCCCGCTCCACCCCTCCTCCCCACCGCTCTGAGTCTGGCCCTGCTCCGCCCCCCCCTGCTGCTCCGGGTCTGGCTCTGCTCCACCCTGCTCCAGCTGCTGCGGGTCCTGCCCTGCTGCAACCCCCTCTCCACTGCACCAGGTCCAGCCCCACTCCACCCCCCACCGCTCTAGGTCTGGCCCTGCTCCACTCCCCTCCCCACCACTTCAGGTACAGCCCCACTCCACCCCTCCTCCCCACCGCTCTGAGTCTGGCCCCGCAACATCCCCTCTGCTCCTCCAGGTCTGGCTCTGCTCCACCCCCTCGCTGCTCCGAGTCTGGCTCTGCTCCACCCCCACCCCTGCCACTCTGGGTCCTGCCCTGCTCCAACCCTCTCTCCACCACACCGGGTCCGGCCCTACTCCACTCCCCTTCCCCACCTGTAACAGCCAGAACCAGAGGGATTAATAAGCAATAAATACGTGCTTCTTAGAGGCATTTGGTATTTTGACAAAACAGGTACTATTAGTTAATATAAAGCTTTAAAGTTTGTAAACCACAAATGTAACTTGTCTGTCATAAGTTCTACCAAAATGATAAAATTAACTGTTTGTGGAACTGACTGGGCCCCATAGGCAAAGCTGTAGCTATAAGATTAGGTGACCTAATGGTTTTTTGCTCAGGGTTCAGCCTTGATGGTAAAACTGGATCTAACTGCCTGGCACACCCAACACATTCCAGGAAAGCACATCCCAAGAAAGCATATTAAAAAAAAAAAACCTAAAAGGGGTTGGGGCTTAGGCCGAGCAATGTCAATTTCAAACCTAAAGGTGCTGCATTATAATTTGCTTATTGGATAAACCCAAGT